TCGTTATGCTATCATTAAAATGGAAGCGCCACTGAGATTTGTTCAAGTTTTAATCAGTTTGAGATTCAAACAATTCCTTTAAATTTTGTTTTTAAGCAAACGTTTCTTGGTCATACAATAATTTTTCAAAACCCTTCTTATTTCTAGCTATAATTTCAATTTAAGCTTTTGAAACAAAGACTTTTCAATCATAATTCTATGGCTGGATGGTTCTGGATTCTCATTTAAATTGGTAGGGCGTAAAAAATTGAAAATGTCATTTAATCCTGACCTTATGAAGCAAGCTACTGAGGTTATATTTTCTTAGAAACGTAAGACTTAAGATATCCACCGATTTTGTTCCGTGGTGGCGCCAGGGGAGGGCTAGGGGGCTACAGCCCCTCCATCGGAAGCACCTAGCCCCCCCCCCATCGGTGGAAACTTTAGGTTATGGTCGGAGAAAATTTGACAAAATAACGTACAAAAACTGCATACTTTAGTCATTTTAGCCCCCCACCTCTTTGTCGGAAGATTTCTGGCGCCACCTCTGATTTTGTTTAACAGTATTTGAAACAAGACAAGTTGCCTGGTTGCTGCGTTTCTTGTACATACACTTACGTCGAAAATTACTAAATAGATCTCTATAAATCTCTATAAATGCAGTTTTGAAAATGCTATTTTCAAAATATGCTCTACTGACTCATCGAATAACTTATCGAAAACATTTCTAATAGTATTCAAATGTACTTCCAAACGTTTCAAGTTGTTTCAAGTGAAACAAAAATTTTGTAAAATTTTCAGATTTTTATAGTTTTTACATGTTTTTTTAAGGGTCACAGATTTTTATAGCTTTTTTACAGGTCGAGGGTATTTTGGAAATGAATTAATTCTTCTTTACAATATGACCTAGTAATTCACCAAAATACTTCCAATAGTGCTTTGAACATATCAGTAACCATTTCAGGTTGATTTGAGTGAAAATCAATTTTTGTCAAACGTCGCAATTTTTTTAATCTATTTGCTTGTAAAAGTTCATAGTTTTTTAATATTCACAAATTTTTCTTTCAGATATCACTTGGAAGCAAACAATTCTCTTCAAATGACTAAGCAAAGGTATCTAATAGCTATTTGGTTATTTCAAACCAAGCATTGGTTATTTCGAAGTTTTTTCCCAGGTCCAGAGTCACATATTTTTTTGAAAGCGACTTAGTTGTTTTTTTTTTCAAAATGTGCCTAGGAATTGATCCAAAAGGCCATTAATTGTGTTCCAAACATATTTTTAAGCATTTCAGGTTTGATTTGAGTAATAAGAAAATTAAAATTTTCAGACTTTTGAAGTTTTTTTACAGGTGCTGGGTCGCAGATTTTTGAAAAATGGCTCAGTACCTTTTCTACACATATGACCTACTATACGTTCGTTGAAAATCTTCTAAATGTTGTTCTGGATGTATTTTCAATAGTTTCAAGTTTTTTCGTGTAATTTTTTGCAAAATTCTTTGATTTTTGAAGATCTTTTAAAGGTCCAAAGTCACAAAATTTTTGAAAAATGAGTTAGTTCTTTTTCCCCATTTATGACCTAGAAATTCATCAAAACACACCAAAGGGTGTTCATAGCGTATTTTCAAGCACTTCAGGTTGTTTCCAGTGAAGAAAGTCAACAGTGAACAATTTTTGAGGTTTTTTGCAGTTTCAGGGTTATAGATTTATTCCAAAATGACTGAGTACTTCTTTACACAATATGAGCATAAAATCCTTCGAAGTTATTTGTAATGCTGTTGGGGAAAGATATTAAGGCTTTTTACAATGTTTTCAGTAAAAAGAAATTTTGAAAAAAGTTCACCGTTTTTGAAATTTTTTGCAGGTCTAGAGTCAAAGATTTTTCAAAAAATGACTAAGCCTTATTTTCAAAATATGAGCCTAAAATTAATCGAAACTACCCGACTTGGTGTGGGAACGTAAATTAAGACCTTTTATGTTCTTTTGGGTAAGAAAACTTTTTCCAAAAATTCACAATTTTTGAAGTTTCTTGCAAGGGCGGGGTCATAGTTTTTTTCAAAAATGATTCCAAAATTCGCCGAAGCTCCCTTAACTAGTGTTGGGAACGTAAATTAAGGCTTTTTGCCTTGCTTCGAGTAAAAAAAATTTTTTCCAAGAAATTCACAATTTTTTCTGATTTGCACAGGTCATAGATTTTTCAAAAGTGACCAAGCACTTATTTTCAAAATTTGAGCGTAAATTTCAACGAAATTACCCAAAATGGTGCTGGAAACGTATATTAAGGCTTTATACGGCGTTTGAAGCAAAAAAAATTTTTTAAAAATTCCAATTTTTGAAGTTATTTCAAAATTTACAGTCGCACATTTTTTGGATTTTCATTTTTATTTTTCATTCAGATTTCGCGTGAATATCAACCAGATGTCTTCAAAAAATAACATAAAGGTATTTTTTCAGCATGTAAGGTTGTTCCGAGTAAAAACAAATTTTTGAAAAAATTCACAATTTTTGAATTATTTTGCAGGTCCCGGGACATCGATCCTTTAAAATAATAACTAAGTCCTTATTTTCAAAATATGAGCTTAAAATTCACCAAAACTATCCGAAATGGTGTTGGGAACGTAAATTAAGGCTTTTTGCGTTGTTTCAAGTAAAATAATATTTTTGAAGAAATTCACAAATTTGTTAAGTTTTTGCAGGTCTGAGGTAATAGATTTTTCAAGAATGATTAACTCCCTATTTTCAAATTATAAGCCTAACATTCAACGAAACTACCTGAAGTGGTTTTGAGAACGTAAATGAAGTCTTTTTATATTCTTTAGAGTAAAAAAGGTCTTTTTAAGATAATTCACATTTTTTGAAGTTTTTTCAAGTTTTAGCATCAAACATTTTTATATTTTCATTCTCACTTTTCTTTCAGATATTGCTTGAATATCAACCAGATGTTCTCAAAAGATTACAGAAAGGTACTTTTTCAGCACTCAATGTTGTTTCGAGTAAAAAGGAAAGTTTTGAAAAAATTCACAATTTTTAATTTTTTTTGCAGTTGCGGGGTTATAGCTTTTTTCAAAAATGACTAAGTTCTCATTTACAAAATATGAGCTCAAAATTCATCGAAACTACCTGAAGTGATGTTGGGAACGTAACTTGAGGCCTTTTTCGTTGTCTTGAGTAAATAAATTTTTGTGACCCTCCCGGCCGATGTTTTGTGACAGATTTTCCACATATGACCTAAAAATTGTTTGAAAACACTCCGAATGGTGTTTTGAATGTATTTTCAAGCATTCAGGGTTGTTTTGAATGAAAAAATTGTATCCAAAATTTGCAGATTTTAAGGTTTTTTTACAGGTCCGGGGTCAAAAAATTTTTGAAAAATGAGTTCGCTCTTTTTTCCATATATGACCTAGAAATTCATCAAAACACTCCAAAGGGTGTTCATAGCGTGTTTTCAAGCATCTCAGGTTGTTTCGAGGAAAAAGATTTTTTCCAAAATTTTTCTTCTTGCAGGTAAGCGTCGTAATTTTTTTCTGTTCACGAATTTTTTTTCAGATATCACTTAAAAGCTGACAGAAATTTCTTCATTTGACTACAAAAATGTAATTGATATTTTTGTATTTTTCAAGCCCTGATTTCTTTGCCAAATTTTCACATTTTTGAAGGTTTTTACAGGTTCGTGGTCAGAGATTTTTTTGAAAAATGATTTTGATGACTTAAGCTCTTCTTTCCACATATGACCTAGCAATTCATAAAAAGCTCTTCCAATATTGTTCTGAACGTATTTCCAAGCATTTCAGGTTGCTTTGAGTGAACAAATTTTTTTTGGAAAATTTTTTTAGTTTTGATGTTTTTTACAGGTCCGGGGACACAGATTTTTTAAAAATGACTGAGTACTTTTTTCACATAAAATCTAGAAATTTGTCGAAAACACTACAAGTGGTGTTCCGAACTTCTTTTCAAGCATTTCAGATTGTTTCGAGTAAAAAAATTTCCAAATTTTTTCACTTTGAAGTTATTTTACATGCGGGGTCACAGATCTTTTGAAAAATGACTTTTTTCTTATTTCCACATATGACGTAGAAATTTATCAAGAACTCTCCGAATGGTGTTCTGAACCTATTCTGAAGTATTTCCGGTTGTTTCGAGTGAAAATTTTTACATTTTGAACATTTTTACAGGAAATGATTTAAACCTAGAAATTCATCTAAAACACTTGAAGAACACTTTGAATGGTGTTCTGTACATATAGTCAATCTTTTTCGGTTGTTTGGAATGAAAATTTATTCTTTTTCTTTTCAATGTTTGAAATCTTTTTTTCTTCTTTTTCTAGGTAATGGGTCATAATTTTTTTAGTATACACGAATTTTTTCTTTCAGATATCAATTCTAAGCTCACCAAAATGTTTTCAAATGACTATAAAAAGTTATTTGATAGTTTTTTGGTTACTTAAAGCCTAGGACATTTTTGGGTTTTTTCACTGGTCCTGGGACACGGATTTTTTTTCTTAAAAATGACTGAGTTCTTCTTTCACAAAATATGAACTAGAAATTTTTCTAAATGTAGACCATATTATAATAACGATTGTTTTAAAGTTTGTTTTTCTCTTCGTAGGGATGACCTAGGTGCCTGCAAACTTTTTTAGGCTTTGGTTTTGACTTCACGCCAGCGTGTGCATTCCAGTTTTCACCCACAATCTCATGGTATCGTGTTAAATTCTTTGAATATATGGTAAATCCAAGGCCATTTGGTTGCACCAATTTTGCTGCACTCCGTCAAGCTTGTTTTACGCATTTGACCACGGTATATAGAATAATTTTATCTATTATAAAATCAGGAGAACATACAATAGATGCTTTGGAGCGCTTTCCATCCTGGGTAAGTTTTCTATATCTAGTCATTTTGCTGTAGTAAACACTTTTTTAGTACACCAGGAAAGTATTTCCACTGTAATATGTGGGTAATTCAGTGATAAAAAGCACCATAGGATGCTTCAGTTTCTATATTGAAAAATTCGTAGAATTTGCCTATCGTTCATAAATGGGGCAAACATATATCATATATCATATAAAAATTTAATTGTCTAAGGAATAAACAAGCATTGTAGACATATCGACAAGCTAAACGACAAAGATTTATATGAATGAGACAGGAAGATTTTCAAAAATAAAAATGTCCAGTTGTCTTATTTTATCTGTCAAAAGTATGACAGCTAATTTACACAATGTCTATATATTAACAAAATAATGTGAAACTGAGTCATAACATGGCCATGCTTGCACCCTCCTTTGATAATCGATCAGCTTCCTCATTGCCAGGTTCTCCTTGATGACCTCTTACATGAACCTTTGAGAAATAAAGAAAGGCTTTAAACACATGTAAACAAACCTTGTCATGTTAATTTATTATTAATAATTTTATATTAATAAGATAAAGACTAAATCTTTTATTGCCGTCCTATTTGTCTATAGATAGTTGAGCAAACAATTATTATCTTTGCAACAAGGTGACCCTGAAAAAATTGTTTTTCTTTGTGCAAAACAATGATAAGTTGAGTAAAATAGTGATTCTGCATTCAATTCTATACCATTCATAGCCATCGGTAGCAAAGCTCTAGAAAAAATTAATTATGAACTGAGAGGACTTTAAATTCTATATTTCTTTGTGAATGTAAAACACCACTCTATACCCACAAATAGGAAGAAAGAAAGGCTTTCACAGTTCTGTTTTTCTCCAACTTATGACTAACAGCCTTTCAAGAACCACTTGCTTCTATAAAATAATGGGAATAGTGGTGATCTAGGTCATTTAGTCTCTCATGTTTAATGATGTCAGTTTGGCATGAATTTCAAATTCATGATCAATATGACCTACCCAATTCACCCGCACTTTTTGGCACAAGTCATCCAATCTTTTAATATCTTCTTGGTTCTTTACATTGCTTCCTGCAGCCGATTTCCAGCCGTTTTTCTTCCATGCCTGTATCCACTTAGAAACGCCTTGAAAATTAAATAGCAGTCTCTCACATATAAGCAAGAGCAATCTTTCCAGAAATTGTTTAAAATAATATCTATTCATTAGAAGGAATTCAAGGTGTGCTAAGTTTTGCAAAAAACACATTGCAGACAAGTCTCTACAAACGAAACACATACTATGTAGCTGAAAACATACAATTTATTGTATACATGCTATCTGTCCGAATCTCTAGCTCATTCATGTTATTTTTCACAGCTTGTTCAAGGGCTCTGATTGCAGCCTGCAACAAATAATGAAATTATCTTTTAGGGAACAAAACAACTGATTAAAACATTTGATTAAAATTTAAGTCATAACCGAACTGAACACACAAAAGACTGGTAGTATCTCTATTTAATCAAAAGCTACATGTCTTTTCACAATAAACATGGGCATCTTATTTAAAAGTATCCTCTGGTAGCCTTCTCTGCTTACAATTTAATCTAAATGTATATGTGTCAGGTTCCTAGATTTTTATTGCACAAAAGAGTCATATTATGCGAAACTTTGTCTTGAACTGATTAAATGAGACCTCAAAACAAGGGACAAAGTTTCCTGTCATTGAAAAGATGCCTATGGAAGTCAAATACTAAAAATACATTAAATTAGCAAAGCAGGTCAGTTTGATTTTAACAGGAGCACAATGAGGATCCAATATGCAAAACAAGCAATTTTGCAGGACCACTTCCTTGTGTTATAGACAAAACTACATTTTTACAAGTTACTTTCACTGCATACCAGAGTCTCAAATCACCAGAATCAGAAAGCTTACTTTTTGCACATACTTGTAAGTTTACATGACATGCCTTGCTCATATCCTGAAAGTCATCACACCTTCTAATTACCAAAGGCAGTAACTCTTACATTTAGTTCAGCTCTTTGGTTGGTTTGAAGACCCTCCAATCTTTCTGACAAATTTCTAAAAGACAATAAAGTAAGAGCTATTTAGCCATGGAAAACTTCAAATATAAAGTTTGCATTTGAAATTGATTGTTAAGAAATCCAGCAGATTAACTTTGATTATCAATTCAGGATTAATAAACAGTCTATAAAATATCATGAAGTAAAGTTTTTACCTTTTATCATCTCTCCCCCAGTAAACTCCAATTCCTGCACTGGCATTTCCTTTTCCATTATTGAAGCAGCCACCATCTGTATATACAACAGGAATGCTAGAGTGTGGTGTTGATGTTGTAATTAAGCCTAAAACAAAAGAAATGATGTTAATTGAAGAAGATTTTGAGAGTCAATTACTAAGCATATTCAATTAAATTCATTGCACATTAAACTGTACAGCTATTAAGGAAATCCAAATCGACTGAACACACCCATAATTGAAAATACAATTTAAATTGAAGATTATTATTCAATAGGAATACTCTGAGCCAAATGATTGCTAAATGTTCTAATGAAAATAATGAGTCAAATGTAACTAAGATAATTTGATCTTGTGAAAGATGAACAAAAAGGATGTATATGTACACATACCATTGACCTTGGCTACCAACCCAGAGGCCTTTCTCTTTGGAATGATACCTGTAGACTTTCCCTAGTAGATTCAATAAACACAGTATTTGAAATAAGAGATTGTGCTCCCATCAATGCTTGATCAGAAAAATTTGAAACTGAAGCCAGTCTGCTAGTTGTTATGTAAGAAAACATGTATAATTTGGGGTAAACATAGATTGCCTTGTTGAGGGGCAAGCTGCAAAGGGGTCATGATAGGCTACAGGCACAATGTTGTGGTTTTTACTGATATAACAAAATCCTTGAAGTTCAAGTGTGGATGATATAAGCTAAGAGTATACACTTTACAAAATTTGTATGCAACCCAAGTTAAAGGAAGTCTCTGATCTAGGGGATGATATAAAGTTTGCCAGTGAGCAGAAGGTTTCTTGATACTCCTTTGGTAGACTATATGCAAGTATATTACACTGATCATACAAATTTAATTTTTCTCTGTTTATTCATACCATGGTAGAGCTTAGTACTCAAGAAAGGCATTTGAGTAAGGTTATCAAGATTTCTGCAATTGATATATGGAATATATTATATCACAAAGATTTTGGTTGAACTTTATTTAGTTTCCACAGTTAAAAAAATCAAGGTTCTAAAATGGAGCTATTTTTAAGGCATGCAAAAAGGATTACAACTTTTTACTAACCCTCATAAAATCAAGTGCTTCATTCCTTGTTTTAAATTTCTTGAATCTTGCACCTTTGAAGCCATTTACCTGCTGTTTACATTCGTCCCTAAAAAAATCAAAAGACTTAAGCTTTCCTGCACCTACACAATTCATGTCATTCGTTTCTCCTCTGTCCACGACTAAAATTGCATTTAGTCATAGTGAATAACAATGGTCCTTTTGATCAGAAACTTTGGTCTCGCATAAATGGATTTCTAATAATTTGCTACTTATTTATTTACAAAGGTTGTAAGCAACGAAAAGTATACTTGCTTAATTGTAGATAACTTCAATATGAAGTCGGAAACTGCTGTTTAATCAAAATGGTATTTTTATTATAAAGAAAACTCCAAAATTTTGTTTTCATCATTAGTGTACTGATTTTTTTACCTAGAGAGAACTCCTTTACAGGATATTAGTTGCTGGTACCAAAATATTAAATAACGTCAAACAACTCAAAAAATGGAACTTGAAAAAAGTACTACAATTGTTCTAGAATTGAATGCTTAGCCTTACCATGTCTTATAAATACCACACTGACGACCAGATTTGACAGCATAAAACATTCTTAAAACCGAAGATGTTAAGGTTATTAGCCGCCTTCTGACCATCTACTGCTCTCTACGACATAAACTGCCAAACAAACTAACATTCATTTTATCCTTCGAATTTATAGGCCTATTCCCGCCATATTTGTATATAACCTCGTTTACATACAGATGTTTATGGCAAGAAAAGACATCCGGATGTGACATCTTGTCGCACGTGTGACATGTGTCGATTTTATGAAAAGATTCTTCTGTGAAATATGAATCGGAATTGTTTATCAAGAACTTTATAGTGTCGTTGTTGCAAAAGAACAAGAAGACTTTATAATATTCATTGGAGTTAATGATCTAAGCAAACCGCAACAAGAAAAGCCCACAAGCTGCGGGCAGAAATTTGATATTTAACTGTTCATCTCTATTATGAGTTGTTTACTTTTGGCTTGCTTTGAAACACTAAAGTTTTTCTCAGTTATTTGAAAAATTTTTATCGAAACGTATCCTGGGTCGTTTAGTCGGACCCTTTCTGTGATTAGCGCGAAACTAAAGCATGCTGCTTGATGAGCAAGATAAAAAACTTCCTGTTCTCGATTTGAAATAAAAAACAGTCTTAGTTACGAGATAAAGGTCATTACCATGATACCTTTTCAAATCAGGCAGTTTATACAAATTGAATTAGTACAACAAACATGAAATTAACGCGATAAACAATAAACAGATCACTTTTATCTCTCCTTTTCACAATAGCGTACAAACGAGGTTGCGAATATTTTTATGACGTTTGGTCGATGTTTAAAACACAGACTAAGTTCCAAGAAGATGCAAAATGGGCGGAAGAGAAAGCTTGGAATATTCTTAAAGGCATTGAGTCATGGTAAATATGCCTTCTCTATAGGGGGTCATTTGGTTTCCGCGTGATCGCTGCTGTTTCATGTGATATTTGCATCCGTTGTTGACAACTTGCTATTGATAGAAATTGTTTTGTCAATCAGTTCGAGGTGAGTTCATGTGACCAGTTCAAGGTCAACCAATAGCATCGCAGTCATGGAAATCATGACTCAGCGGATTTTGGCACTTAGGGTATACCCAGTCTATTTATCATGAATCAATGCCTTTAAGTGGATTTTTCCTATATTGAAATTATTCGACTAAGAATATAAGAAAATATAATTATTTTGATGCAGAGTTAAGGAGCCAAGGGTTATGATCCTCTTCAACAAGGCCAGGAGGCTCACCAAGTGCTCAGGCTCAGGTGATCTAAATTTATGCGAATAGATCTGATTGAATTGAATATCTGATTATTGTATTTCGAATCTTTTCTTTCTTCTGTAATTTTATGTTTGGGAGAAAACTCTTTCTACTTAAAAACGAAAATACGTCTCAAAGAGATCGTCTCACTTCTGCCAAGCTGTTCTAGCAAACAAAGGAAAACGAGTCCTTTTTAAAAGAATAAAGCAAATGGCTAACTTACACCAGGGACCGCGCACTTCTCTAAAAGTAGAGGGGCTTAAATGGGTGTGACCGAAATTTTTTTGAGGCCACGCCCTGTTGAACGCCGGAAAACCCCCCTTTTAGAAAATGCTTGCTTATTTCTATTGAATTTTTATAAAGAGTCTGGTTCAGAGAATAAATCAATAGCCATAAAAATAGATATTATTAGCTGGAGGGTAATAAAAAACCAAGCTAACCAAGTTAGAAAATACATCATATCATTAAGCAAGATGAAACACCTAGAAAAAGATCAAAAATGGTTCCCAGTCAATGAGAACTGTTACTACATAGGAGTAAATTATCCAAAGTTGCGTGAGAGTAAACCTTCAAAAAATTTTTCTAGCCTATTATTGCAAAAAAGTGGGTGGGCTATAGCCCCTGCTAGCCCAATGGCTGCGCGGTGCCTAACCAAAGTGTCGAATCCCAATTAATCCCGTGCTCTTATATGTCGCTCCACAGATCCATGGTCTGGGTTTTATGTAGCTAGTGATTTCTCACTTGCGGCAAGTTCGTCTTGTCGCAATGGAATGTGAGGTGGTGGTCTGAGCTGCGGTAGCCGATTGCTCTTGGTACTTTTAAACCAATAAATCAAATGTCATATAGCCAAAATACGGTGCAAAGATTTCTCAAAGTGCACACGAAGAAACATATTTGGTAGCTGTGGTTACTGGAGTCGCAAAGGCCTATCAGGGGCTTAGGCCTTCAACGGGGTGTGCATTTCAGATATCGAGGAATCTTATTTTACGAGGATTTGTCGCGATTTTTTCAGAAAGAGCCGATAAAGTAGCTGCAAGTGGTAAAGAAATTATTAATTTGTAAGTTGTTTTGGGATTTGCTTCTTCAATTTGCACCGCAAAGCTTTACCAAATAAATTATTGTTGTTCCGTTTGGAAATCGATTCCGACATACAAAATGTTTCCTTCTAGACATCAAGGAACTTGCTCCCCGCTGCATGTTTCCAAGCAACTAGACGAAAACTATGTTTGTTTTTTATTAAATGAAAACTTTTCTAAACATTATCGAAATGGCTTTTTTCTATACAGAGTAAATAGGCAGCCGTTTTTTTAATGATGTATCTAATGCCATCATCATTTGCTTTCAAGTATCCGGAGGTCAAGAGATTGACAGGGTGGCGTCTTTTGAAGTTAACTTTTCTGCAAATATGCTATGCTGTTTCCTAGAATAATCAATATTAATTCTTCAGAGAAAGTATAATTGTGCTTGCTTTTAACAATCTGTATCATCAAAGTTGTTTTTTGTTTTGTAAGTTAACGAGAGTAAAAATGGAAATATTTTTAGACTAGAGTAATAACAAACCTAACACCAGTTTTAACTACAGAAGAAAGTACTGGATAATTTCCCTTCGTTGTATCAGCCTTCTTGTTTAAATCCACTTCCCTGTTTATTGTGTTTCCTTCTCTATGATCTGATCAATACCTTTATTGTTAAAGTTATTCTAAGTTCAAATTGAATGGAATGAATTGAACATTTACTGGAAAAAGTATCTTGAAAGCATTTTTCTGCCAATGATATTGATATAACATAAGAAGGTGTCAATGCTTTGATATACAACTGCCTATTCTCCTTTGTTTTTACGGATTATTTGCAAACAAAAACTCACATTTTTTATAGAATAATTGGCTGTGGCTACAATGTAAACCTTTAAAGAGCAAATTATTGAAAAAAGTATCTTGAACAAAGTTTAATTATGCTGTTTATGTAAGCCTCCACTTTTATGTAAGCCAAATATCTTCACAGAGTCTCTTGGGTTTTGAAACATCTGGGTTTTCTAGTCAATGTAATAGTTTAGTATTTTTATAGTATTTGCATGTCTCTTTACTTTTCTAGTAGAATTGACTGGTAAATGATTACTTCTTATATGAGATATATCCTTATTCTAAAGTTTATCATATACACTTTTTTCTTATTAGCTTAAAGGACATCGTCCTGAGCATGATTGGCTAATGCAATACAATTATATTTCTTGTCTCTTACAAAGCATGGAATAAATGGTAATTTTTTTGCTGCTGTCAAAATTCAAGAAGAAGAAATGAAAAGTCATGAAAGAAAGGAACTCCACTCCAAGTGCTTTTGTTTTATTAGCTAACTGTTAATGTGAAATTTGCCCTTTAAGGAAGGCTGCCTATTTGTGGAGGTACCTCTAGCCCAGTTAAATTTAATGCTTTGTGGAGGTTGAGTTTCAATGATAAATGACAATTTTACTTTTGAAAGCAACAACTTTGATGACCCTTTTTATTTTTAATTATTTCTATTCATAGTATTAATTGATTCTTTATACTTAAAATATATTTCTTTAATAAGTTATATAATTTGTTTTCTAGTAATTATCCCTGAAAGAGACAATGAAAGAAGAAGATATAGAAATTGCCATAAAGGTCCTAGTTGTTGGCAATGGGGCAGTTGGAAAGTCAAGCATGATCCAAAGATATTGTAAGGGCTTATTCACAAAAGAATATAAGAAGACAATTGGTGTTGACTTTTTAGAAAAACAGATTAGGTAAGTTCAATACTTGTTTGGATTTCTATAGTAAAAAAGTTTCATTTTTAAGTTCATGTCATACTGTACAATCTCATACATACAGAACCAGTTGTTATCAAAGCCACACTAAACAAAATGAAATTTTAATAACTTTATTTAAAGTTTGCAAAAATATAAACACTTTAAAAAATATTTGTTATTTAAGACTGATATGTTGTAGGAACTCTCTACCTCAGTATATATGTTAACACAAAAACAACAGGAACAGCTCGTGTTTATAGTATTTATTTAAAAACATTCTTGTTTACCATCTACTATCTACATCTACCAAATACTGTCTTCCTTCTAAAAGAAGATTCCAACAAGGGTGACAGCCAGAGTGGATGGAAAGCTAATACTTTGAAAAAAACCAAACTCATGTTTATTGTTGTATTCATGTATCAGTGCCAGAGATACCCTTTAATCTTTTTGAATGATTTCTCATTTTTTCATTTGATTTGTATATCAATTAAGTTTGCAACACCTGTAATTATGGCTAGACCAAAGCTGTTTCATTTTCATCGGACATATAAGTGGCAGATTGTGGTTTAAAATGCTTCTAGAAGCCATTCACCTTTTCACTTAATTTGTTTCTTTTGAAAGATTCTTTTTTCCACTGTTATACTGTCTGTGCAATTTTTCAATGAGCGCTATTGTTATTCTATTTCCAATTCAAATGTTCACCACAATTTTATGGCAAGGATTAGAAGATAATCAAGCAGTTGTCAGTAGTCTTTTCATTCTATTGCGGGATTCTGATTTATTGGAAAACTAGGAAATGGGACAGTTAACTAGTAATAAGAAACTTGATACTGTTAATGTCAAAGAAGCAGTCCTGCTCTTAAGCTGGTTTCTCCTTTGGGAGATTAAGTACACACAGTTAGTCAATGATGTCATATCTAAATTCATTTCAGGAGGGGGGAGGTGGTGAAAGGAAAGCAAGGCATCAGTTGCTCCTTATTCACTACTTTGTCATAAAGGAAAAACACCGTAGTTTGGCTACAATTTGGGGTCAGCTATTAAATCCATGCTTCTGAGGGCTTTGTGTTCATACAAATCTGTGTCTTGATAGGAATATGTTTGTTTTATTGATCTGATAAATTTTCACAAAAGGTAGATAATCTAGAAAATATTTAGAAAACCAGTAAGGATTGATCCTGTATTTGTTGGTTTGAAATATTTCAAAATTCAGTGTAACTGGAAAATCAACCTAGTTGAGATATTCTAGACCAGGCTTGTCCAACGCATGGCCCGCAGGCCACATTATGGCCCGTGATGTTGTCTAATGTGGCCCACGCTTGGGTCAAAGTTGATAAAGAACTTCATTGTATTTATTAAGGTTGTAAGAGAGAAATTGATTCAAATTTTTTCGATATTTTTATTTCATATTATTTACGCGCACATACACTTGGCGACTGCCAGCTCAACACAGGGAACCAAACCCTGTATTTTGTGCCCAAACCATGAACACGCTGCGCTTGTTTAAAAAGTTCAAGATTGGTACAAGCCATGCTTCTAAAAAGAAGGGAAGAGGGAGAGATAGTGAACTTGGTAAACGCAATTTCAAATTATCGCGGACAACCGATTTTTCCGTAGCTCAGCAAAATGACTTTGTTAGGTGTTTGATTTGGTTTGAAAAAGTCGCAGTGCGGAAGGAATACGATATTGCTAGGCATAAAAACTAAACATTCATCTTATGATAAGCTGGAAAGCCAGTTACATGTTCATAAATTAAAAGTTTCTAGTCAATAATCTCTAAGGAAATCAGATTTTTTCAGTTCGGATTGTGCCACAAAAGTCAGCATGCCACGATTTACTTTTCTTTTTGGGAGCACATACAAATATAAATAAAATTTGTTAAAACTGATGGCAGAAGCAGATTAAGTCCTGGTTTGCACGGGAAGGATTGCATACTGTTTCAGTGGCGCTCAAAATGTTTGAACAAACGGGAAATGAACTGTTCAGACGGGAACAGAAGGATCACATACCAATCGTTTCTTCTCTTCCTGCGGGAAGACAATCGCTCCGTTCTACTTTTTGTGCTAGAATTTCAAGAGTTTACCAGTGCGCATGTCAGTATTTCCATATGAACAATGCATTTAGCCAGATTAGTAATCATTCTGTTTTTCCGATCATTCCACCTGTTCACACGCTATCACTAAACGGAACGATTAAGGTGTTCTCACGTGCGCGCAACCCCTAAGTCACTCATTCCTTGGAATGAGACAATATGAAACGGAACGGGGCTAAACAGACAATGCAGTGATAAACATATAAGTGACCCCCCAGTTACTGCGTTATTCTGGAAGTGGCCCTTCTTGAAATAAGGTTGGACAACCCTGTTCTAGACCATGGCATTGCTAGCTGTTTTGGTAGATCTCAGAATATAAAAGATCTCTGAACAAATCCTGTTCCTGCAATCTGAAAGCTTTCCTTATAAGAAAAAACTCATTCTATACACTTTTGTTTTTAGTTGCCGTATGATGATTTGTCTTGATTTTATGAGCCTGCCAAAATCGCTCTATTAAACAATTAAATTGAAATTTATCTTTCAACATGATCAATAGCTGTGGCCTAACGTATCATTTCCCTGGAGGCAGCTATGGGGAGAAGGGTACAGAGCGTGACCCCCTCCCGTTTGAGTTTTCTGTCATCTAAAAAGCTGCTTGGTGAATGTATGGCTTGTTCTCAAATTGGGGATGACTCCACCAATTAGTTTGTGAATGTTGCCTGGGCAATGCTCTTGAGCACAACAGCATGCAATATCTCTGGTCATTAATCAAGTCCATTATGTGAACCCAATTTGACTGGCACATTCTGTTTTTATAAAATGTCAAAATCGGGCCAATAATTTTGTCTTCCAATTTCTTTCATGTGGTAAATGCCCTGTGTCTCTGTGCAAAAGATGCCACCAGTGTAAGCCATGTGGAGGTTGTATTGTTGATTTTAATTGACATGGAGTTGATTGATTAAAATTCCCTCTGCTTTTCAGTCTCAATGGTGAAGATGTTCGCTTAATGTTATGGGACACAGCAGGACAAGAAGAATTTGATTCACTAACTTCAGTTTATTACAGAGGTATGTTCTAGTTCTTACAATGGCTGTATTGGTACCTTTTTCCTGTCGTGCTATTTCAAAACAGCAATGACTGAAGCCACATCAATTCCAAAGTGAAATTAAAATGTTTAGTTTGATTGCCTTTTCTTGTTTTTCCTCATGTTTTTCCTCAAAAACTGATAATTACAAAAAGTAGGACCTTAGCCCCCCTTAAATATGCTGTTTTAGAAAATCTTTGATGAGAATGTTGTGATGGATGTAAATGCTCCAATGGATAGCATAAACTAATATAGTAATGGGTGGTAATTTTTGTTTATTTCAAGCAATACAGCAATGTATTAACTTGTCCTAACTGATCATATGCAATGTCTTTTAACCATTCAGCCAGCAGTATTAATCAATTTAGATATATTCTAAACACTTTATAAGCATTTTCATGTTACTGAAATAGTCTAGCTTTTTGAAATATTTAGGGAGAGAATTTCTTCAAGTAATTAGAAATTTGATCTTTTTCTACCAGCAATCAAGAATCAATTGCGTTCTATTGGCCAGTTGAAATTACTTATTCTAAATAGCTATCATTAGCAGATGATAGTTCTATTCTCAAGCAAAAACTGTGGTCTTAAAATTTTTGTAGCAGATAAAAGTGACCTGAAGTGTCCTAACCTTATTAAGGTAACAATGTTGGTCAAATAACTGCAATTTGACCATGCTCTGAACCATCCCTTTTTAAATCCTATGTTCATTTGCCGAAAAAGGAGTCGTGGTTCATCTTCTATTTCATAGAATGAAATCTGGTAACCATACCCTGAAATCCTATATTCCATTAAAATTTCTATGGATAAAGTTAATCTAAGAATGGTCCTATAATGAATTTAGTGACACATTTATTCTGGAGGTGATATAACAAAATCCTGATTTGGATTACTCATGATTATATAATCAACCAGATTTCAAGTTCTTGCAGCTAAGCATTAACCTTGGCACGTACAAGATTAAGGTGGATTTGACATAGATAAATATCTCTGATTGCATTCAAACTTTAAACTGACAAGTCAACCTTTGTATAAAGAGTGTACACTGTTGCTTTGAAATAGCTCTTTGAGAGCTTGTATCTGTGCACCTCCCCACAGCACTGCAGTACGTCATCATACTAAGCTTGACATATTAGAATGATTAATTGCTCTTGTGACAATCATAATTCAATATTTCTGCAAAAAAAACTTTCACTTCTCTTATCACATCAAAAAGCAAAATTTCCTGGTGAACTTGAATCTGCCTGGATGACTTACTTTTAACAACAGCTTATGTTTCTTCAGCTCCCGATTATTGTAGTTTTATTAATTTCCTTCAAACACTTGCTTCTGCTGATATAAACAGTTTTAAAGTCTCTAATGTTTGGATTATATAAATGGTCATACAAGAGCAATCTGCTTTTTGAGTTGTTTGTGGATAATGATAATGACGATAATAATTATCTTAGATTTGATTGGTTACATAACTCACTGCTGTACTTGTAGCCACCAATCAGATGAGTTCATACTAAGAAGTGGATTCAACACTTATTTGGTGTAAATTTGCTCGGTCTGGCTCTGAACTGTTGAGGGATAACAAAAAATAAAGTGACTTTGTAATAAAGAGACATTACAAATATGTTTCTTTTGAATTTTTGACCCCACAACCTGATCATAAACTGATTGTAATAGTGTAATATCAATTGGGTCAATGAGAAATTGGCTGAGATATGGGCCTGTGAAAAGCCTGAATTTGCCTAATGCCAATGGATTATTACTGTTTTGGCCTAGTTGAGAAACTTAGAGCGAAATAAACTACTGTTTTGCAGAAAGGGGGTATCTCCTGGTGTTTTTAGACTTAATGTCCTATTTCAAATGATTTATCTCCTTTTTATGTGCACATTGTTTCTAACATATATATCATCTCATATATTAATAAATTTTTATTTAACTAAGCAAATCTTTTTGCTCAAAATTTCAAGATTGTAAGATGGCATAGAGTAACGAGAAAAACGAGAACAATTACATTGTTGTTTCTGATGCTATGCAAACTTTAATATTTCTAGGATCCTACTCTCCAAGGCGTGTCTGACAAAAAATGCTTAAACTTTGATTTGTGATCCCTACCAAATATCCATGGAACCCCAGACCTGCACTTAATTGTTTTTGGAAATAAATAACTGTTACGGGTAAAAGGACAGACATCGCCTTCCCTCTCCACAAAAGTATTAGTTGTAGAATGAAATGTCTCAGCTGTCTGAAAGAAGCCCGTTGGACAACGCCAAGCCTCTTAACATAGAGTACCGAAGTGTGACGTCATCAAAAATCTATTTTTAGAAAATTAAGAAATTCTACAAATAGATTTTTATGACGTCATCATTTCGGTTCTCTATTGTGGAAAACATTGTTCTAAAGGGAAGCAGGGCATGCAGTATAGAATATTCACGATATTGGCGTAGTTTACAAGACTTTCTACAGTCACTGTATTTATAACCCTGAGCGTTTTATGCTAATTTTTCAGAACATACTAGCAACATAATAATTTTTTTAATCTTTTCTTTTAAGGTGCACAGGCTTGTGTCTGTGTTTTCTCAACAGTAGACAGAGCTTCGTTTGATGCAATGCAGAGATGGAAGGAACGGGTAATTCTAATTCTTTAAAATGCATCATTTGTATGAAGCTGTACTTGGAATTTTCGAGGATGGCTCAGTGATTAGAGTCCTGGACAGCAGACCAGACGGTCTCTAGTATCTATGGAATGCAAAGAAAGCACAGAAGCAGAAACGAAGCATATAATACCAAAAAACTTGTTATCATTCAGCAAAATTGTTCAACACATTCATCCGCCCCAGCCGTTGGCTCCAGGATACCGGGCACCTTAAAGCAATCGAGGAATGTTTGCTATAATAATTCACCCGGTTATTGTATCAGTTAGAATGATTTGCCCTACGATCAAAATTTTATTTACAGTTCTGCCAGCTGCAGTTTCAGAGAGTCATTCAAACAAAGCAAATAGGCTTTTTTCAAGGTTTCTCAGTCGTGGCTTTTCACTCAAATCTCACAGTTTCCTAATGGCTCTAAAACATTGACTGTGTGTGCACATTTTTTCCTTTATGGCATAAAACCAAAGTCTGTTATCCATTGCGATTCTGCCAGGGGTTTGAGGCAAGATTAGCCTCTAATTTTCTGTTTATTCAGATGAGAATAGAGAAGTCTTTTAATGTAAAAGATCTTTTTCGGCGACCGCCTCGCAGTAGGGCTACCCAGTTTTTTCTCTTGTTTTCATTCATTGTATATTTGTTGTTATGTCGTAGCTATTTGTTGATGTTATTGGTTGATTTTGAAATGAAATGATAATTTTACTTGTATACTGTAGATAGAAAGAGTTTGTTGAGCTCTTTGACTATGCGATGAGCTATCTAGTGCCGACTGGTTGAAAACAAGAAGCTAATCAAATAGTCCCTTGGATGTTTCTTTTAATCCGCAAATGGAAAAAACTTTCTGCTTACCACTTTGGTTATTATCCAGCGTTTATACTTCGGGGCGTACCCACTTATTATGTCATGTTTCTGCTTTTCTATGCTATTTTCAAATATATATCATAACTTTTCAAGGTGAACGATGAGTGTGGCGATATCCCTATGGTTTTGGTACAAAATAAAATCGATCTTGTCGAAGATGCCAAAATGCGACCGTAAGTTTTCAGCGTCTTTCTCTTGACTGATTTGCACACCTAATTGAATCGCACGTCTAAATATTTTTTATATATATTTGTAGTGTTATACATCGTTTCTTAATTCACCAATTTTTCAATAAAGTGAAATAATGGCGTGAAAATGACATATTTAAAAAATGACTAAAATGGTAATCGGCAAAACAAGGTTGTTCATTGATTAATATTGTTCATAATAAGGAACAAGGTAAGAGGTTAATCGTCTCTAATCCCACATGGTGTGTCTCTTTTTTAGTTACTATCACCCTATCAATTATTTGGCGAATAATTGTTCTTTATTATATTACCACGTTCAAAACGATTACCACATTAAAAAAGAAATTCCTGCAAAATTAGCATTCTTTCCCGAAGGATGATCCCTAGGAAGACCAGCATTGTATGTAAATTAACTTTTTTTTGGACTCAGTACCTGATAGGGTTTCTGTGTTTAAATATGATAAATAAAAATAAGAAGATAAATGGTTGGTCCTTAGTGTCGTGCAACTTTATATTTTGTTTGTTATTCTAAAACATTAAATATGCCAATATTTCTTTGTCCAATCTAAGAGAGTCTTTTAATTTATTTTGCAGTGATGAAGCAGAGGCTCTGGCAAAGAAATTGAAACTAAGATTTTATCGAACATCCGTAAAAGAAGATTTGAACGTCAAAGAAGGTGATTTAACGTATTAATAGTTTTAGAAGGATTTTATCCAACACTAAGAAGGTTTTTTCTGACCTTGATGAATTTTGACAGAATAATATGATCTAAATAAAAATTTCACAATTATATACAGTTCAGGAACATATATATTTCCTATTCCTTTATGACAATATTTCCTATCCCTTTATCCCTCTGTGTCCCTTTACGAGAAAGGCGGTATATCCTTTGAAGGTTTTCTCGGTGTATCTTAGGGATTATTTTGTTACAAAGATCCCGAAATAGGTCGCAGCTAACACGCATCTTTCTTTCGTCCCGACGTTAACCGATCTTTCGAACTCTATGGCTGCTTCTGTCTGTGCTATCCTTTTTTAGGCCAGATTGTCAGGCTGCATACTATAAAGCGGTCGCTGTGAAACACGATTGAAGTTCTTGAGTTAGGAAAAATTATAATTTTTCTTAGTTTCCTTTTGTGTAGTCAACAGATAACATCAACATGTTTTTGCTTCTGTTGCTTTTTAACTGCCGTTTACAGGCCTCGAATCAGACTTTTCTTTCCTAAAGGATCATCGTGGTGAGAAAGATTAAATATATTTCACCGACTTTCATTTCCTTTATTAAAGATATCTGTTTTTTTCTAATTCAACATCAATCTCTATGAAAAGCCAGTCTGAGTTTTAGTTTATAATGTGGAATAGTGCCCCCATATAATGTTCACCTTTTGTACCATCGTTCTGGTCCCTTGTCCGGGATCACTGCTACAAAGCTTTCATCGTAAAGTACAAATTTTAGAACACAATCATTTGACTTTTGTTTGGAGGTATCGGCTATAACGAGGTGTCAGCTTTAACGGGGTGCCCATCAATGTAAGCCGTTTTGTAATTCTGCGTAGATATCATCTAATCTATTTACCTTCATTGAAAATTGTGGGCAATTTTATATTTATTTCACTGCGTAATGATTCAAAAGGATAAAGTTTTTTCCTGCTAATTGCTTCCTCTTTCACTCAGAGCTTATAAGTTCTTGCCGGAATGGCCCCGTGAATCAAGTTATCGTCCTCTGTCCCCGTGAATCAGACTATGGCCCCAAGAATCAGATTATGAGTCATAGAATCATATTTCTTTTCAACATGAGCTTCAGCAGCAATATATTTCTATAAAGCAATAATTTTGAGTAGAAGCTTGGTTTTCTTTCATCTAACGGGAAACATCTTGGCTAAATCAAAAATTCTTCCTCTAAGCTATCTCAAAATTTCTATCCTTATTGCTTATTTCTTTCCAAAAGACAGGAACTCGTGTTTTCATCTCGATATCACTCCTCCGTGACCATGAAGTATGTTGACCCCTCGTTGTTTATATTTGCGATATTGCCTCTTCTGATCTCTTTGTGGAATCATTTTCTTTTGTGAGAGACTCAATATCTGCCCTTTTTTTTGTTTTTGATTACTGAGAAGGATCATGCCTAGATGACGTCACCGCACCGTCAGTTAAATATCTATTCCGTTTTTTCCTTGTGGGAGCTTCGTCCTCCGTAAATCTTCCAGATGTTAAATTTCAGTCATCTTGTGAACAACTGCCTTTCCGTTTCCAACAAAATTGATGTTTTCATCTGATTAAGTTAAACGGTGCATTTTGAATATCAGCTAGCTGGTGTTCGAAGCAAAACTCGATATTTCTCGTCCTCGCTGATGAAAACTACGATTATTGCATGCTCCTGCGTTGATTTTTTCTTTTTTTAATATCCCACACAACCGCGCCTATGATTTTAACACAATCAGTGACACGAGATGAGTTTATCTTCTCTTCAACAAGCAGATGATAAGCTATTGTCGCCTAGGTTACCATATCGTCAGGTGCTTTATTTTCCTCTCGCTGTGAAAATTCAAGACAAATTTGATATTTGTTGTCTGAACACGTTGACTGAAGCAAACGTCTGTGTGATCTAGTCTAAAGTTTTCATCTTCAAGCAGTGCCGTGAATTGAACTCTTGCAAACATGGTAACCGCATGTGAGTCAGTCAGTTGCTTTTCATGTTTGTAAAGGAAGCAATATCTGTTTTGTGCAACAAGTGGTTTTAATGGGGTTAAAAAGAACAGTTGATCAACAATAAACAATTTCAAGTCTGATTTCATGTTTATACTTTCTAAACAAACATCTCCTTTACATGCATGTTTGTCAGTCTTCTTAGATTTACAATCTTTGTCAACTTTTTAAAATTATAGACTTTCATTGAATTGTGTCGTTTCATCGTGTCTCTATGAGTTTTGCTAATGATTATTTTGTTTTTCTTTAATTTGATATTAGTTATGAATATAATTTGCGAGCACGAATTTTTTTTCGTACCAGAAATACATTCTTTCAAGGTCATTCATCGACTTTAGTCATTTTCATTTCCAGTTTGTAAGCTTTTCTTGATATTGAATGTTTGTAATCGAACAGCGAACTCGCTTGATTTCTTTTGATTTAGAGTAGCAGGTTGCGAATACATCAGTTTTCTCCATTACAAAGAGTTAATGGGCTTGATTATTTACAAAACATTCGGAGATCGTTTGTGTTATTCGATGTTCTCTTAACTTAAGCTTTGGTTTGCGAATTAGAGCATTTGCTACACAAATTTGAAGCTGCATCATATACCCACTTTATAGTTCAATCTACAAACGTTCGACTTTATACATGCATGAAATCTACCAATGTATTTGTTTTTGTCTAAGTGATTTCAGCTGTTTTTTGTTAAAAAATTTCTCTCACTAAATCTTTTTTACGCAAAGCGCCTTTCTCTTATCACCTTTGAGTTACAATAACTGAAATAAAGTTCAAAACTTTATTTATAAATTACTTATGAATTACAAATTGCTACATTAAACTATGGTACAATATTATTTCTTTCCAGTTTTCGCATATTTAGCTGACCGCTACATTGACAGGGTGAATTCAGCTGAGCCTGAAAATGGCATCGATTCCTCATCGTCACATCAACAGCAAATCGGTAATGCTACAAACTTCACATTTACACTATTAACTGAACAAAGATGTATATTTTTATTGCTTATTTTTATCCTATTTTTAAGTTCAGCGTAAGAAATATCTTGATTTATTATTCGTTTGTTGTTCATTTTGAATCAAAGTTTAAGATTTTTCTTATAAATTATTGTGTTTTTCATCATTGGGTCCGTCAATACAAAGGGATGCGAGGAAATATCTCATTTTATAAGCAATAGGGTTGTTTGGAACGTTCCTGCCAATCACGTGCAATATTGGTTAAGTTTTCAGGCCTGTGCTCATGTTATGTATAGAGTTAGGTACCCTCGAATATAAAGCAAATCAATTGAATATAACTTAAAGGTGTGGAACAGGCTGCTATTAGTGCTGTTAAACAAATAGTTCTTTTCCGCAACTTTCATGTTGCAAACTCCAGTAATTTCTCTTTGACATCGATCTTATTCTATTTGTCACGACATTTCGCTTTCAAATGGCCTGAAATTAATCGATTGCAGAAGTTTCAACATAGCATTTCGTGTAGAACTAACTTGTGGTTTCCTGCTGTTGGTATTCGCGTTGTTATCTTCCTGTCGTTTTCAATGCAAGCTCTTTGCAAAAGGTTGCCCACCCTTCGCAGTTATCAAGTTTTCAACTGCATGGATAGAACTCCAACTGTTTATGCACACATGGTCTTGATTCTGTCCTTACTGGGTCATCGGGAAACCTTTTACAGTAAACTTGAAAAACGGCACAGTTTATGTGTAAAAAGTTTAACGTTTTCACTGTTTCCACTGAGAGACACCAAGTAATCGTATAGCAATTCCGTCATTTAAACATCTCACTAAAAGAGTGCTCGCTTTTGCCTTCATTTGATTTTGAATTTGTTAAATATGTTAGGTCAACTCATATATTATATGCTAGATCAGTTTCACGAAATCATGGTTATGTTCCTTGCAATCAGAAGATGGCTTCAACTGTTCTCCGTATCGCTGTTTTAAATTTGAAATGTCCCAATATGGGCATTATCAAATTTCACGTGTTTTTTGATGTTGAGAATACTGGGAGTGTCTCGACACCAGAGACCTGATATAGAACTTTAAAGGGAATATATCGCGTTATCCGTTGGCTAATACAACAAAAAAGTTTGGAGTGGAACTCCATTTTTTCGTGGCTTTTCTCATTTCCGTTTATGATTTTTAATTGCCTTAAAAGTTCTTCCTCGATTCTGTGCATTGTGCTAAACAAAAATTGACAATTTTATTGCATAAGCCAATCAGATTCAGGAGATACACCCTTAAAATTTCGTAGCTTGGACGCTGGGGCCATAAAAATAACAGTCATTGGTAGAGCAAAGTCTTTTATTGCGGAAAGCTTCGAAATTTCTGACTCTAACTTGCCTGGGCACTATTTCAGTGACCTTGTGACATCATCATGCAATTAAGTGTTTGGTAATATTGATTTTTCAGGTATCTTTACAACAAAAACGGTTCCAGACACGTCAAGCGGATCTTCAAACCACAAGTCTTCAAGCAAGAAAGGCAAAAAAGACACGATACAACTTTCTTCGAATAGACAGAAATCTGCCAAGAAAAAGAAGCTTTGTTTCAATTTTTGATTATTTTTCAGCTAGCAAATTTTATAGGCATCAATCAGGATTGCATTATTATTGATAATAAAGCTCAGTTGTTAATCGAAATCATTATTGAAATAATTGATATTTTGCAACTATTTGTAGTCATTCGAGTTTTACCAGTCATGCTGTTGGCTTTTTAATATCATTTTCCCTGGCCCTTGTGTTCTCAGAACTGCTATATTGATTTTTGGTGAAACCGTTTAACGAGGTTTAAGATTTTTGAAATATTCAACAGTAAAGTGAAATTGCTTTTTCTTTGATCACATCTTTAATTTTTCGTACATAGTTTATAAAAATGCAAGTTAGATGTGTATTGATTGTTACAATTTCTGGAGCCAATATGCCATCACCTGCAACATGACAAAGTCCTTTTTGAATCTTTTATAGAATATTCTAACTGACTTTTGTTATATCGGCAGATCGACACAACCTCCCTCGTTCCTGTCTTTAGAATGACTTATCCGCTTTCAGCCTTAGAATGTCTTCACATT